ATGCGTCTGGTGGGAGGATGGTGGAGAAACAGTTTTTTTTATTGAGTTTCCTCCATGTTGTCGAACAATAACTGCGAAGTCGTGCTGTGAGCAACACATCTTACTTGAAAGGCTTCAAGTTATCACGTGACACTCATATTTTGGGCTTAAAATTTGGGTGTTTTAAACGAGAACTAATGCTCCACTCGCTACATTCCCCTGACCTTAATTTTTCAGTTTTTTTTCTACCCCGTTCTCTGTAGAATGGTTTGAAGATGTCAAAAACAACCTTGCGCCTTTCTTTGAAAGGAAACCACGCGCGTTCCTGAAAGAAGGAGTCCAACAATTTGTAAAACGTTGGGAGACAGTTATAGGAAGTGATGGAGCATACAGTACTGATCAGTAAATGAAATGTGCTGTTTTTAATTTGGTTTCAAGTTGGGCACAAGTTTTTGCAATCATTAATTATATAGCTCAGTTTTTTTCCGTGTAGTGCTCACAGAAATACCTTGCCTGATGCACTAACTTTAGCAGTCGCTGTCCAATCTACTTAGTGCGACGCAATTACTAATCGTGTCTGTTCATTTTCCCTCGCCTCGATCTCCATGCCTAGGGCTACGGGCCAAACCCTCCGAGCGAACATCTAATTTTGCGAGACATTAATAGACTTCTTTGTTGTCGGAATGGTCTCATATTAGCCCCGAGTGACTTCCAATTAGCCCAAAATGCCTCTCTCTTGGTTTTACCTCTTTTTATGACTCATCCGGTTATTCCCCCACGCCATTGCTAAGGCAGTGCTTGATTCTCTTCTTGTGCAGATGACCGTCTAATCTGTCACGACTTGATGAACGTTCCTCCACTGAACAAGATAATGCTCATCTCCTGGGTCACCGCAACTGAACTTGTGATTGGTGTCCTGCCGGAAATAACAGTGAGTCACTTGTTTCCCGCATTATGTCTGCTGCGTCCAGTCTTCACATATTCTAACAGAGGGTCAACGCATTGACAAAAATAATCTCCGTGGTGTCAAAAGTAAAGCGAGCATCACACTACTGCAGCAGTTATGTGCCTGACGGCTCTTAAATAAATCGCATTTACACAGAAAGGCTTCTATCACTGCCGTGAGCCCAATGTCATACATAACATTTAATGCAGAATATTACCGTTGATATTAATAAAAAAAATAGGACAAACACAAAATGACACTTGCAAACATTAAGGTATTAAACAAAAGGAGCAAGTTTAAATTGACACGGAATTGATGATGCGTGATGAGATGCAGTCGAGAGTAACATTCACAGCAA